AACACATGCATAGATGAAAGAGGTTTATAGTAAAAGAGAATACACTACTGAAAGACAGGGAATCAGGTAGCAGACTAGTAATTTCCAAAGCAAACCCCCAGGTATATCCTGTGCTCACTATATATATCTACTAATATGGTCAATCCACATAGGTAATAGGGAGTGTGGGACATTCCATTACAAAACTTACAAACATACATATACACACACAATTTGAATGAAATTGAAATGAACATCTGTATCTCACTGGCTAATTTTCCATTTTGTTTAACAAAAACTCCTGGGTTCTTTCTATATTTAAATTGGATGTTTCCCAATGAATTAAATATTTTAAATGGACAAACAATTTAAATGTGAAATATGACCATACTGGTGTCTGTGAAGTGACAAGTAGCAAACAAGTAAGAAATAAATGACCTATTTCAAATGGTTCCTCATGTATGTCTAAGCAAAAAACTAACCAGATGATCTCTGAATCTTTTGAGGTCAATGAAGTTTTATTTCTCTCATTAACTTCCAGTTGCAGGGCTGGTGTGTCAAATAGCAAAGTAGACTAAGCTCTCTTACCTTGGTAGGCAGCCTATCTAAAACTTTAAATTCAAGACTAACTTGAAGAGTAATGAGATCTGTCTTGCCTTAGATACACCTATTGTTGCTATCTCTGTGGTTATGTAATGATTCTTTGACCCTAATATGCTCATGAACATGCAAGATTATCTCTTAATGTCATTGTGATGATCTTCAATTTTAGTAGGAAACCTTTTTTTTTTTTTTTTTTTTTAGCTATGAGATCTGATCAAAAAAAAAGTATTAGGGCTGGTGCTATGAATATCAATGTAAATCCTTTTTTCTTTTTACAAATGCACATAAAGGAGCGATGATTTTATTTTTTTTATAAATATATGTTTGGGTATATAGTCAAGCCGATTTCATTTAGTTCCTTTTTGTTCATACTTTTATCATTTTTGTTATTAAGTATTCCACATTGTAATAATAGATTTGCCAAGAAAGTTGAAATGTTGCAAGAACCTAGACATAAATTTACAGTGGATGATCCTGCAATTAAAGCACTTTCTATACATTTTCAACTTAGTAAATTGCTTTCCATGTTAAAGTATCATTTTTTTTTTTTTTTTTTAAATCAAAATTATGGCTTCTCATTATGGTGAGCAATTAATGCATTGAAAGCGTTGTTTTGTAAAAGATACCTTTTGTGTTCATATAATCTTCTATTTAAATTCCTTGTGGTTTCTCCTATGTATTTTTTGTGGCAATTGTTAGGTGTGATAGAATAAATTAAGTCTTAGATTACTATTTTGTTTTGTATTAATTTTATTATTATTCTAAAAAGAGTTCCAACAAATTTTATGTTCAGCTAATTAGATAAATTCTTTTCAATTATAATTGTAATAGATTTGATGGGTATAATAATTTTTTTTTTTTTTTTTGGTGTGGGGTGGTATATAGTCTAGCTAATTACATTTACTTTCTTATGTTTTTATCACTTTTGTTATTAAATATCTGACATTGTGAGAATGGAAGATCTGCCAAGAAAGTTGAACTGTTGTAAGAACCTGGACACAAATTTACTGCGGATGACATAGTGGTGTAAATTTGTATATCTAAATTTTATTTTTTATATCTGTATGACTCTAGTTGTGTCAGCTTGTTCGTAAGTAATAGTTTTATTGTTATTTTGACTATTAAACTATTTCTACTCAGCTGTTCCCTTAAAGAGCTTTCTGTTGTCTGTAATGTCTGTCAGTTAACAAGTAACACACACTCCAAACCTTGTCCCCATCTGCTTTACAGCCTCTGAACAAGCTGTTTTCAAAATGGATTCTTACAGTAAGCATCACCCTTTGCAAGGCCCCAGGGCCACTTAAAGTAGATGATTACATTAGGAGTGTAATATAACAGTTAACCCTAGCCTTGAAAAGATTAAGATTGTAGCGATCAGTGTGACATTCTCTTGTAAGTCTGTTCCACAGAGTAGTGGTTTGTGGGAAGAAGTTGTTAGAGTGAAACTTACTTCCCACAGAGGGAATGTGGGTGGTTTGCTACTATGTGGCGTGGCATGGCATGTCCTTGTTACAAAAGTTTGAATTGGTGGGACCAGGGGATGTAGTTTGTCTGAGCACGTTCCATGGAAGAAGTGACAGAGCATCAAGAGGCTTGCCACATCCCACCTGTGGGAGAAAGGTTTGAGGGTAGATAATAATTCATCACATAGAAGTGCTTGGAGATACTTTTGGACCCTATCAAGGCTGGAGAGTAAGGTCTGGGCATCCCCTGTCCAAATTTGACAACAGTACTCCATTTTTGGCTTTGATCTGGCTCTTGTAAAAGTAAAGGATAGCATGAGGAATTGGGTGCTTATTGTAGCTGTACAGGGAACTGACTATTTTACCTGCATCCTTAGCAATGGTTCATATGTATGAGTTCCACTAGAGGTCAGGTGTGAATTTGAGGCCCAATAGTCTTTCAAGGTACAGTGCCTACCCGAGGGGACATCCATTCATCCTGATTGAAAGTTGTTTGAGAATGTAAAAACAGAATATTGATAAATAAATTTGATTGGAACATTAGGTTGAAAACGGGGTGTTTTAGAATGAGAAATAAAACCATTTTTATTTTTCATACAACCACAAATGCTCCAAGAAATTTCTTATTACCTTCCACTTGTGGATTGATTAGCCATGGTCAAATGCAAAATAAGTAACAGAACTGTCCAACAAACAGAATTGACAAAGTTTATAATAAACAAGAAAAAGAAAAGAACAGGGAAAAAAATAATATAAAACAAGCAAACAATTGCAAGGAAAATTAGCAGTAATAAAGCAAAGCAACAGTAATATGGCAGAAAGTTCACAAACCAAGAATTGGATAAGCAAACATAGCATTCTGACCTCAAGACACGACAAATCGGGACTGAGTCAGATGAAAACAAGAAACAACCTATTTTATTGGCTAGGAAGAAATCCCAGCATACATTTGCATCATTCTGCCTATTAAAAAGGGAGGGAAAAGTGTTTTGCAGTTATTCACATGTCAGGTGTCGAAATAGCTATTGTTTTTTGGGGGCAATACACTCCTTCATTATGGCTTCAGATTTTTTCAGATCTGTGTGCAGCACCAAATGTGCCACATAGCTTGTTTCCTCATCAAAGACTCCTTCATCAAATTAAAAAAAAAAAAGAAGCTGCATATTCATTTCTGTGTACAATTCATACTGAAAATATCAGGGAAATCCAAGAAGACCATCTGTACAATTGTCAATGCTGTCACATAATATGAATAATATTCCTGTATGATAACCAAAGTTAAGCAACATCAGTACCTTATGGGTAACCTCTTAGGAATACTAGGTGCTATAAGCTCGGATATGTAGGTAGTGTAATGGGTAATGGCTGAATTTGTTATATTCACCTATTCACAGATACCCTTGGGAAATATATGAATCCTGCTCTTCTCCCCCAGCTATGGGTTAATTAGTAAGACTTGTATCCGTAAATTATTATTACTTAAAAAAAAAATTTCTTGCCCTCTAAACATATTTTCTTGCTTTAAATAATCTGCAAAGGGTTGATAAGCTATAGGAAATGAATCAATCAAATGCTGATTAGCTATGCACACACGTCTTTATTTACATTCCCTGGAATATAAATGTATAGAAACTAATGTGGCCACAAAGTGAGGGATCAGTTTATATATTGATTGTAATATAGAGTTGAACCCCACATTATAGTTTCTTCTTTGTTTATCAAATTCTGATTGGAAATAAATCCACCTCCCCTCATCCCAGCCATGGGTTAATTAGTAAGACTTGTATCACTAGATCATTATTATCATCTCTGCTCTAAAAAAATAATAAAAAAAAAAAAAGAGCCAAATATTCATTTTTGGGTGTAGTGAAAATGTCAGGAAAATCTAAAAGGCCCACCTGTGCAATTGTCGATGCTGTCACATACTATGAATTATATTCTGCACATTCCTTGCAGAATAAAACATTTAGTTCAGCTGCAAACAAAAAAGTTATTATTCTAATACAACCTTGACATTTATTTATGCTTTGTAATCTCAGACTGCATGGTATTCTATTTTACTTTTTTTTATCCACTAATGCGGCTTTTAGTAGCTTTTAATAAATTTTGTCTTTTTGTTATCTCTCCTAAACCTTCAATATCTGTCTATATTTCTGAGATGAGGTATTGCAATTATCTACACTATTTACATTGTTTGGACTGTTGTCCTCACCTTTGTTGCCATATTCACAATGTTTCGGGTGTTGTATGCTCCAGCCTTCTTCAGTTGACTGGAATTTCAAATCAAACCCTTTATTTCATTCACCGGGGTAGTTTTGTTTTAGTTCACGTGCCATGCCTCTACCGCATATCTCGGTATCAGTTATCCCCTTTAACTCAACTCTCCAACTTTTTGTTCACCTCTGCTGTAGCCAGTTATTGAACTCACAACTCTTTGGGTCAAGTCACTGGATTCAGCCAACGCTTTTATCCACTGGTCCATGTATCCTTAAGAAAATCCAGAGAATACAATGGTCAAAACATTGTGAATATGGCAACACAGATAAGGACAACAGCCTGAACAATGTTAATAGTGTAAATAATTACTTGTAAACCCTGTTCTGCCATCCATTTACTCAAGCTTGTTTACATAATGCATTGATTTCCTCTGTTCGTCTTACCTTCAATCTCTCCTGTGAGTATCAAATTTTTCAAACTGTCTTTCTTTATTATGTGCCCAAGAAATTTCAACTGCTTTTTTCTGATGTTAAGTGTCCTTTTTTGTTTCTTTTTTCTTTAAAACTTCATCATTGCTCACATGTTCAGTCCATGGTATTCTCAGCATCCTTCTGTAAAACCACATTTCTGTTACCTCAAGTCTCTCCATCTGTGAGGAGATTGTCCAGGATTCACTGCTATATAGGAGGACTGATATTACCTAACTGTTTAGTACTCTTTTGTTTTTAAATGGCTTATGGCTACATCACATTGAAATACCAGTTCCTGTATGATCACCAAAGTTAAACGACATCAAGCCTGGTCAGTACTTAGATGGGTGACTTCTTAGGAATATCAGGTGCTGTATACTTGGATGTGCAAGTGAATTCCCCCCCGAGACTTGAAAAGGTTAAGAACATAATGTCTTGAGAAACATCCATGTAGGAGTTTGTTTCACAAAATTTATTTTTTTACCTCTAGTCTTTTAGTCAGAACAGAGTGCTGATAAATAAATATGACTGGAGAATTGAGAAAAATTATTTTTGTCAGTGTGTGACATTCAATTTTGAAAATTTCAGCTGATAAACATTGGTTTCTCTCTTTAAATATTTAAAGTCTACAAACTTAATATTACCAGACTTTGCTCAAGCAATTTTTGTTTCAGTTATTTGGCCACCTTTTTTTTGTTTGTTTTTTCCTCCATTCTATCTATGCTCCTTTTCTAGAATTACTCTCTTCAATACTCCTAGCAAGAGACTTGCTTGTCTTAGAGGTGACTTTCTTTCACTGGTTTCTTTCTCTTTGTAAATGTAGAATTTAGTTGGACAATCAGAGATTACTTGACTGTATTGGAAGTTGAGCCTACTCTGGCAGCTTATCTAGGCCAGTTGATGAGTGGTTTAAATAACAGACTGGGATGTTCCATTCTGCTGCTTGGGAAACCCTATTCTCTAGGTCCTAATTGGCTGCTGACTTTGGTTGCATACTGTGCTCAATAAATATCTATCATTATGCCTTGAATGCTGTTTGGGTTCTGTATTGAGTTACAGCCCGCTTTCTTTTCATTTGCCAACTGGATGCAAGTTGGGAACTTCCTTGCAAGGTTGAGTATCATATTTTTTATTCTTCAGTAAACGATCTTAATTGTCAACAAAGAGGTCAAGGAATGATAGCTTTGTTCAATAATACTTACCTTATGGGTCATCCAATTTTCTTTTTGCTCCTCTTTTGGACTGGTGTGTTGTCTCGATAGAGTAGATTTGTATTTCCCAAAATCCTCAATATTAGGATTGAGAGTGAAGTCTAGTGTGACCTTTATATACATTGTGTACCATAGATAAAATTGCATAAGTCCTGTTTGTGGACATGGTAAAAATGACCACCAAACAAAATGTGCACGGCTTTATATAGGGAAATCTTTCCTGATAACAATAATTAATAACTTTGTTTACCTAGCCAGGCCCCAGAAAATGACACTTTCCAATGCCCAATTTCATTATCTCTATATCCCTGTAAATTGACCAGCTGTCCTTATCAGTGAGAAATTCATCAGAAATCCAAAATAATGACAACTATAAAAATTGCAGATGATTGTATCAGAAAAAGGCACATCTTAATCTTAGGTGATCTTTGGCCATATGGTATTAGCCTTGTATATTCAAATTCTTCCTAGATATCTTTCTGTAAAGATAATTAAATTCTTGAGCTGATCAACATAAATTCTCAAACATTGGGACTTAGCATAAAACAGATGTTTTGTTTCTTTATCTAAAATAATTTAGATCATTATTTTCTGTGACTACAAACAATTTATATCGATAGCACATTGTAAAAAATTTACATTTTCCAGACCCCAAGGAATTTGGACAAAGCATTAATCATCTTTTTCTTATTGGCAGGAAAGTGGATAGGGTTGGGAATCTTGGTTTTGCTCAATTTTACTGAATCTTGTTTGGTTAAATCTAACTTTTTTAATCTTATTTTTTTATTTTAAAACAAATTTTAACAGAATTTTTAATTTTCTTCTCAACTATTCAACCTACTCACCTGAGAATTTTAATAATTATTATCCAATTAGTAGTCCCTCCAATTCACCATTCTGTAATTTCATGCAATTATACATTTAAATGGGGTCAGTGCCCTGTTTGACTTATGTCTCCCAATGAGGTGAAAATGGTTACACCTCCAGGCAAGGTGACAGTGCTTATGCCTACCAGCAATTTGAAAGTGCTTACAACTGCCAGTGAGGTGAAAATGCTAACACCTGCCAGCAAGGTGACAGTACTTATGCCTGCCAGCAAGGTGACAGTGCTTATGCCTGTCAGCAAGTTGAAAGTGCTTACGCCTCCCAGTGAGGTGAAAGTGCATACACTTCCCAGCTATGCCTAACAGTGAGGTGAAAATTTGTGTATCTTTGCACAGTATATGTCCTCTGCTACAAAAACCATACCAGTATCATTAACCATCATCAGATGTTGTCTTTGAGGTCAGGCTTGATATTTGTACAAATTGAGGGCTATACAGTAATGCTTTACAATATTGATGAGTTTTCTGTGTTGTCAACCACAGTTTGGAAATACCAAATCTATGCAGATTCCATTTCTACTTATATTTTCTTTCTTTCTTTCTTTATTCAGTAAAACTTCATGTATTAGTCAAGAGTCTTTCATAAACATTTTTATCAAGAGAAACATATTAAACCAAAAATGCAGTACTGTTGTTGTATTTGGGCGGGAGCTTCTCAGACCACACTATCCAGCCTTGATAGTTCAAAAGCATCTCTGAGCCCTTGTGTGCAATGAATTATTCTCCACCCTTCAACCTCTCTCCCACAGGTGGGATGTGGCAAGCCTCTCACTGCTCTGCTTCTGCGGAAAGTTTTCAGATGAACTACATTTCACTAATTCAAACATTCACAGCAAGGACTCACCATGCCAATTATGAAGTAGCAAACCACACCCACATTCCCTCTGTATACCATCAGTAAGAAGTAAGTTCTACTTAAACAAAAACTTTTTGAAAACCACTGCTCTGTAGAACTGACTCCCAAGAGGATGTTTCCTTAATCACTACAATCTTAATCTGTTCAAGGTTAGCGTTAACCATTATCTTACACTCTTATCTGCATAAATTGCCTCATAATGTAACCTTCTACTTTGAGTGCCCGCACAAAAAAAAAAAAAAATCACCAGGCCTTGTAAAGGGTGAACCTTACTGAAAAAAAAAAAAATCAATTTTCTTCCAAAAAATGTCCTGGTAATTAAACCTTACCTCACTTCTATTAAAAAAAGTACCAGTAGTATAATTTATACTAATGCTGTAAGTGTATCTTCATGGTTTAGTGAGAAGGTCACATAAAGGTAAGGTTATAATTTTGATTTTTTGGGTTGTGATATATTTTTTTTTTTTTTTTTTTTTGTCCTAAATATACAATGCCAAAATCTGGGTGTGTATAATAGGCAGACAAGTATTGTAATCGAAATTAATGCTCAACTGATTTAAAAACGAAAATGTGTCATAATGTTCCACTAATAGAACAATGGGCATGGAATGGTGACTAAAACTAAAACTGTTAATTATTCCTCAGATCACTAAGTCACATTACTCATGAGTATTTTAAAGCAGAACAGAAACCACACAAGGGCAGTAAAATTCTGTCAAAAACCCGACAAGTCACACATTTTTTTTTAAGACTTCTTCATTCCAAACAATACTGTTGGCACTAATAAACTTTTTATTTTGAGGTAAATTATGTCTTTCTTATTAAACAGGCTTTTTTTTTTTAAGCATTATGCCCCGAGCAAGGTGTGAAGCCACTAGGATGCAGGGGGTTGCAGAAGATTTGGAGCAAGAGCAGATAGGAGTGATAGAAAAAAGGATGAGGAGAGGGATAGTGGATAGATCAAGGTAACTGGAGATGTCGATTGACATTACATTTGAATAGTTGGAGATTATAGCTCTCAGGGAAACTGGAATAGGGAAGGGAGTTCCACCGGCGAGAGGTGCAAGGTATGAAGCTATTGGAGTAGAAGAGACGGCCACATTTAAAAGTTTCTCACAGTGTAAGGATGGAGCGGGATGCCAGCCTCGTAGGGCGCTTGAATTCATGGAGTCTGGGAACCAGTGAAAGCAGCTCATTGGAGCAATTATAGTGATATCGTGTTGAAAAACATATGCTGTATGATAACCAAAGGTAAGCAACATCAGTATCTAGATTGGTAACTGCTTGGGAATACGAGGTGCTATAAGCTCGGATGTGTGGGTGGTGTAATGGATAATGGCTGAATTTGTTATATTCATCTATTTACCCTTGGGAAATGTATGAATCCTAGCTAATTAGTAAAATTTGTATCCCTAAATCAATATTATCTAAAAAAAAATTCTTACGCTCTAAACATATTCACCTATTCACAGATACCCTTGGGAAATGTATGAATCCTGCTCTTCTCCCCCAGCTATGGGTTAATTAGTAAGACTTGTATCCCTAAATTATTATTACTTAAAAAAAAAATTTCTTGCACTCTAAACATATTTTCTTGCTTTAAATAACCTGCAAAGTGTTGATAACCCATAGAAAATGAATCGATCAAATACTGATTAGCTTTCCACACATCTTTTAGATTTATTTAAATGTATAGAAACTAATATGGCCACAAAGTGAGGTATCAGTTTATTTATTGATTGTAATATGAAATTGATCCCCCACTTTATAGCCACGTTATAACTTATTGTAGGCATGTCTTTTAGATTAATTTATATTCTCTAAAATATAAATCTATAGAAACTACTGTGGCCACAAAGTGAGATATCAGTTTATATATTGATTGTAATATAAAATTGATCCCCCACTTTATAGCCACATTATAATTTATTGAGGACACATGGCACAGTGGATAAAGGCGTTGGTTAGATCCAGTGTCAGGACCCAAAGAGTGTGAGTTCAATACCCGGTTAAAGCAGTGGAGAACTTAAAGAGGGAAATTAACAGGAGATAAATGACAACTGACATCCATTAAACATGGCATGTGGAACTAGAACAGTCTACCCCAGTGAGCGAAATAAAGGGTTCAATTCGACATTCCAACCACCTGAAGAAGGCCGGAGCATACAACAGCCGAAACGTTGTAATATGGTGACAAAGATGAGGGCAATAGTCCGAATAATGTAAATAGTGTACATAATACCTCATCTCAGAAATATAGACAGATAGGGATATTGTTTTAATATAAAATTGATCACCCACTTTATAGTCACATTATAATTTATTTTAGGCATTTAGTTTTATTTTCATTCTCTAGAATATAAATGTGTATAAAAAACTGTGGCCACAAATTGAGGGATCATTTTATATATTGATTGTAATATAAA